TTGAGCTTGTTAAATGTACAGAGTTGATGTTATAATGAGATTGCCTACAATGGCAAATGACCAGTCTGCACCGGCTATTAGCAAATATTTCCAGTGGCCCCTGATGGGACACTACATGGGGTGGGCTCTGAGTTACTACAGTGAATTCTTTCCCTGGGGTCTGGATGGTGGGTCTCACCCACATGCTTAGGATCCAACTGATTTGGGGTTGTGAAGGAATTTCCCACCGGGTCAGATTGGCAGAGACCTTGGGGGGTTATTACCTTCCTCTGCAGTGCAGGGCACGGGTCACTTGTTTTTTGAACTAAAGGAAACGGTGGAGTCTCTGTAACATGAAGTCTTTAAATCAAGATTTGAAGGGAAATTTGGGAAATCCTCGGTAGTGAGAGATGTCTGCGAGGTGTGATCTTCGGTCTTAGGAGATGGATTTATCTCTGCCTGCTTTGTCACCGCAAATTGCAAACCTGATGAGGTGCCGATCAAAGTTTCCAACCCCTGGTGCTCAAGTAGGCAAAGCAAATCAGCTCACCTCTGCTCCAAAATATTCATAATTCTGTAGTGTCAGCATTAATAAGGGTGAGAATCTGTGAAACCAGCTCCTGTGACATCTATATCTATGTAATGGAGAGAGGTAATACACTCACCACATATCATAAATCCAACCTGGGAATCAGCGTCAACCTCTGAATGCGCGGTGAATGCAAATATGCAGATTATGTGTCTGTATGGTAATAAAAGGGCTAAAATGTCGATGTATCAACACATCACTCTTAATTTACATTGCTGGCATTATTTGGGACGAGGGTGCTATTGAGGTGAGATTGGGGATGTCTGCCTGGATTTATGGAACAGCTGCTGAGGGGGGAATCTTATCTGGTTGTTGGGGACTGAACAATCAACACCAGCTTTGTCTGACACTGGTGCATCCAAATGCAGAGAAACGTTGGGGTCTTGGCATTACTGAGTGCTCAGAATACGTCTCTCAAACTACCTGAATTCTACAGGGGAATTCAGTCCTTCTCTTTATGCAGCCTGGGTGGGACCAGACCTGGAATACTGCATTGCTTTCTGGGCATTGGGTATCACACCGATATTGACAGACTGGAGAGTACTAAGAGGGGAACAAAAAAGATTCAAGGGCTGGGGAGAGGGGGAAAAAAGCTCAAAATTGTGCCAGAAATTCTCTCTCTATGGCTCCCAGCATCACTGCATGTCACAATCTTTAATGTATTTACCCTCACACACCCCTGTGAGGTTCGCTCTTGGGACTGAGAGGGACCAGACATCAATCCAGGCTCTCCAAATCTTTCTGAA